TAGATGGGATGTTGCTGTAGATCAAACCGTTCTTAGATAGGACAGGAAGTTCAGGGAAATGGAGCTGAGAGAGTTGGAGCTGTTTAGAGACATGACAATGCTTTGCAGGGCGATGTGTATTGGTTTGATCTGGATTCATTATCTGAACAAAGATTGAGCGTTTACTAGGACTATCAGGTCACCATCCTGGCCGAGCTTTGTAACTCTCAGGGGGGGGGGGCGCGCAGACATTCACCTATGTACTTCCACATTGTAGTATTTGGCTAGAGTTCAGCTTTACGGTGAAATCTTTCCTTCTTCTCTCTGCAGTGAGTTTGGAGTTTGGCAGAGCCGTGTGGCTGAGATTCTACCCGTCGGCGTATCCTCCGTGTCCTCACCCCAGCTTTGTGGCGCACCTGGGCGGGGTGCTGGTGGGCATTACATTTGGAGTGGTCATTCTCAGGAACTTTGAGCAGAGACTCCAGGACCAGTCACTCTGGTGGATCTTCCTGAGCAGCTATGTGTTTTTTGTGGCATTTGCCGTATTGTGGAATGTCTTCGCCTTCTCCATGCCGGGCCTGAGATTACCACCGCTGCCTTAGGAGCCGAGGACCAGCTGCACCCCCGACCGATCGGCTCACCTCCAGCCATGAAGTCACGCCAGTCAGCCCGGCCTATCACCGCTTCCATCTTCTACAATAGTCTCTTACTGGAAGACCTGAGAGGCGCTACGACATCTGCAGATATTCACACCGCTGACTTCTTATAGTCACTTTGGCGTCTGCCAATGAATGTGTCTCCGTTCAGAGTGGAGGAAGGTCAGCTTGTAGACCTCATCTCTCTTCTGCTGGCGTTCTATAGACAGAAGAGGCGCCATGGCCGTGTCATCTGGGTTCTCCTAGAGAACTGATACGTACCCTGTTTTCCCCAAAAATAAGACCTGCCCCGAAAATAAGACCTAGTTGTGACCATTCCCAGGGCCGGTGGTGGCATACGGAGGAACTTGAAGAGCCGCGGGAGAGAATCAGCGGTGCCAACGAAGCCAGCACTAGAGGAAATGAGGGGGCAGCGGAGGGAGCAGAGCCGCATAAGCCGATGCCTCCTCTATAGCCCCGCCTCCTGTCACAGGCGGAGTCATACCAAACGCACTCCCCGCCTGTGAGGAATCCATAGTGACAGCTTTACTCATTCTGGCCAGCGATTGGTTAGCAAATTGCTCTTGGAAAGGTACGGCACCCCCTGATCACCATATTTTTGTACATAAATACATGTAGACTTTTCTACATGAATAAGTGCGGATTGTTGTACATTGAAAAAAAAAAATAAGACCTCCCCCGAAACTAAGACCGAATGTGTTTTTTTTAGCCAAAAAAAATATAAGACCGTGTCTTATTTTCGGGGAAACACGGTATCTGATGATCTGGTATATGACAATGATGTCCATGGCGGGACTCGCACAACAATCAGTCTTCCCGGTCATCACAGGGTCACCTTTCCAAACCATTCACATCTAAATGAAGTGCTTTCCCATGAGCCTGCAGATCTTTCCTTCCCCCCGCCGGCTGCTTGGTTCTTCCCTCCGACTTCCGTAGAAGTATTCTCCATGGCCGGGAGGGTGGGATGCATGCAGTGGATGGGGAGCAGAGATTTGGAGGCTTTTCATGGGGTGGGAATATATATGCAGACATACCCTTGTCATATGTACTTTGCTGAGAGTCGGTCTGAAACAACCCCAAACGTTTATCTCCAGGAAAGAAAGATTTCTTCAAGTCTTCTCTGTAAATATCCATCACCCGGAGCTCAGGATGGAGCAGAGAAGGGGACAGGTTATTTATCTGTGCTCCATTGGGGAGATTTTCTTTCAGCACCAACAGGGAGGTCCCCTCTTAGACTGTTGTCTTCATTGGAAGATTCCCCTTCTATCCCGGTTCCTGGGAGACCACCGATGGGAATAAAAACCTGACAGGGGTTCTAATCCTTCACCACTATGTCATACTGTAATGCACACTCCGGAGCTGACGGGCAGCATGTATTAGTATAGATGTCCACCATATAGACGGCCGCCACTGTCATCATGTCTGACTGAATGTTTCGATTGTCATGTGACCCGGTCGCGTTCAGGTCTTTCCAGTGAATCAATCAGACGCTGGTGAATGTTTTTGTCCGGGTGTAACATTTGTCTTGTGAATGAGCATTTACCTGGAAACAACATTTTGGTTCTTACAGAACGGTAAACAATGCGGACTTCATGTCCCGGCTGGAAATAGGCGGGAATAATGTATGGCCAGCACTGGCTGGGGAGATGTACAAACTCTTATTTTTCTACAGATTGCCACGTGTAAATAAAGAGGAAGCCGTGTCATGAACGTCAATCCCGAGTGAGTGTGGATCTTTCTTCTGGCTGTACAAGCAGCGCCCTCCCCCCGCCCCCCACAGACACGGCTAGAACCCAGCCTGAGGGCCACACATGGGGAAGAGATCACCGCCGGCATCACATCTCCAACCTGAATCTCATACACGGCTCCCTGGTTCCTCGCACACACCAGGCTGGCTGCACATGTATACACGCGGCTCACTCGCAGGGTAAGCCCCGGGGCCTTTCACCGGTATAATCATAAAGTCAGAAGACATCATATCTTTGTATTGTACAGAAAAGGGGGTGTGGCCTCCTCAGGGTTACTTTACCATTATAACCAGCATCTTACTTCCAGAGTTCATGGTTCTGTGACGGGGAAGGTCTCAGCATACCAGTATAAGGGAAGACCATCCCAGGACTAGCTGCTCACATCTGGGAAGGGCCACAGCTGGAATGGCAGCAATTGGACAACATTCGAGCTGTGGGCGGCCAGAACCACCAATATTTCATTTCTCAATCATGATGGGACTTAGAATCTTTTTCTTGGGATGATGGGACTTAGAATCTTTTTCTTGGGATGATGGGACTTAGAATCTTTTTCTTGGGATGATGGGACTTAGAATATTTTTTGGGATGATGGGACTGAATATATTTCTTGGGATGATGGGACTTAGAATCTTTTTCTTTTGGGATGATGGGATTTAGAATATGTTTTTGGGATGATGGGATTTAGAATATGTTTTTGGGATGATGGGATTTAGAATATGTTTTTGGGATGATGGGATTTAGAATATGTTTTTGGGATGATGGGATTTAGAATATGTTTTTGGGATGATGGGATTTAGAATATGTTTTTGGGATGATGGGATTTAGAATATGTTTTTGGGATGATGGGACTGAATATATTTCTTGGGATGATGGGACTTAGAATCTTTTTCTTTTGGGATGATGGGATTTAGAATATGTTTTTGGGATGATGGGATTTAGAATATGTTTTTGGGATGATGGGATTTAGAATATGTTTTTGGGATGATGGGATTTAGAATATGTTTTTGGGATGATGGGATTTAGAATATGTTTTTGGGATGATGGGATTTAGAATATGTTTTTGGGATGATGGGATTTAGAATATTTTTCTTGGGATGATGGGATTTAGAATATTTTTCTTGGGATGATGGAACTTAGAATATTTTTCTTGGGATGATGGGACTTAGAATATTTTTCTTGGGATGATGGGACTTAGAATATTTTTTGGGATGATGGGACTGAATATATTTCTTGGGATGATGGGACTTAGAATCTTTTTCTTTTGGGATGATGGGATTTAGAATATGTTTTTGGGATGATGGGATTTAGAATATGTTTTTGGGATGATGGGATTTAGAATATGTTTTTGGGATGATGGGATTTAGAATATGTTTTTGGGATGATGGGATTTAGAATATTTTTCTTGGGATGATGGGATTTAGAATATTTTTCTTGGGATGATGGAACTTAGAATATTTTTCTTGGGATGATGGGACTTAGAATATTTTTCTTGGGATGATGGGACTTAGAATATTTTTTGGGATGATGGGACTGAATATATTTCTTGGGATGATGGGACTTAGAATCTTTTTCTTTTCTTGGGATGATGGGGATTTGATCTCATGTCTGTTGTGATTTTTCTTTTTCTCAGACAGAGCTCTTATCCTCTGAGCTACAGCCACCTCTCAGTCATTGGGCTTCTCTTACTTCAGAAGTCAGTGATTTGGGTTGGTGGGACTTAAGATGTATTTTAGAATATTTTTCCTCTATTATTTCACACTTTGAACATTTTCTTCTCCAGGAAGTAAATATCAGGAAAATCGGCCCAGCAAACCAGCCCACCTTGTGGCTGTAATCGCTGGAGCGTCCAACTTGTGTCAAATACGTTTTGGAGTTGTGGGTTTGAATCCCGGCGCTGACAGCTATTTATTTCCCTGGTGTGCGCTGATGACACTGAGAAGCGTCTGAATTCAGCAGTTCCCTCAGCCTGGTAGCTGGCTCTGAGGGTGGATATCCGGCATATAAACCAGCAGAGATGTTGGAGCCGCCGGTTCGAATCTTTCTTTATCTTTAGCCGGCTTTATAGGAGATGAAGACGTGACGTACGAGAACGAACACCTCAGTGTCTGAGCATAGGTGGTAGCTCAGAGAGTAAGGACTCAGACTGGTCTGCTGGAGACTTGAGTTCAAATCCCTCTGGAGGAGAGTCACATAGTCCTGGGTGCTGTGCAGCACCTGAGCCCCCTGTTGGTGGAACAGGGTAGTGGGGAATGTTTCAAGTCCACTACTCTATCCCACCAGCAGGGGGTTCAGCTACTGTGCAGTACCTGGGAGGTGACCTGGATATATATATATATCTCTGGGGTGAGCAAAGAAAACCTAAGTCCCTGTTTTTTGAATGGGCCGGCCCGGTAAGACAGGCCCTTGTATTTATATATGTTGCAGTGATGTCACAGACTATGGACCGAAGAGGGGGTAGTCCACACTCTATTGTGATGCCACACATGTTACAGGCCTGAGGGGGCCTGGGACTGGAGCAGACTGGTGGGTTGTCCATGGCCTCCAAGCTTTCACTCAGTGATTCGAGCTCCGGTCTACGGTCCTTCCATCTCCGAGGGATTCCACCCACTTCACTGGGAGATCTGAGCTCGAGTTCACGGCGCTGCTGTCACTGAGTGATGTCCGCACAATGCACTCAGAGACTTGACCTGGGGGCTACGGGAATTGAACTCGAGGCTTCTGGTGCCCTGGGTACTGCTCTTATCCACTGAGCTACTCGCCTCTGCTCAATGACTGATGGGTCTGATCTCCTATTTCAGGGTAAAAAATCCTTTAGAAGTTAAAAAAAAAAAAAGGGAGAAGCCGGGATTCGATCCGGCAACATCGAGGTCGGTGCTCGCTTGCTGGCTGGCTGGCTGGCTGCTAATCCCCCTGAGCCAGAGCGGAGGTGCGGATGTGACAGCCAACACCATAACATTGAGGCTCCAAAAATCAGGACTTATTAAATAAAATGTGACCGCTGACTTATAAATGACGACGTTTGGTCCGTGGTATACATATACGCTCCTATTTCAGAGACAACCAACGATTCCAAGCTTTAGCGATAACACTTCTCCTGAGCCCCTGTCTGGTTTCTGACGCCAGCGGTCTCGGGGCACATTCACACCGGATCTCTGGCATTGCTGTACATTTTTTTCAATGATAAAGGAAGGGTGTTGAACACGGAATGGGTATGACCGGGGATAGTTCACACCGCTCTGTTATGTCACGCTAGTAGGACGTGCGCCACTTATTGTCAGTGTAACGGTTCCGGTGTGAACTAGTCCCCCTCATACCCGTTCATGTTTCAGCGCCCTTCCCTTAGCAGCTAATGGAAATCAGAAGGTACAATTGCAGGTCAATGGACCCTCTGCTGTGTTGTGATCCCCCCCCCCCGATGGATCCTTAGTGAGCAGAGAGGTGACGTATCAGCTTCTCCCTCTGACCCCCCATGCTGGCTGCTCATCACCAACCAGCTTCAGCTCCCTACTGATGATTATAAGGAAAAGAGAGGTCCAGGAGCTAGAAGCACCTCGTCATTGTGTTCAAGTCTTCCTCATGCTGGCCCAGAGAGTCAGTGACCGGACACAGGAAAGGGGGTATAATGGAGGATGTCAGGGGGATACCCAGAAATACACAATAATAGGCACCATGGGATGGTCCCCAATATGATTCTTGTACTCACCGTAAAATCCTTTCCTTGGAGATGATTGGAGGACCCGGAAAGTAAATCTTATACTGCCGCCTACAGGAGGCCTGGACACTGGCAAACAAAAAGAATACAGACCAGTCCAGGATAATAAATGAGAGTAGACTAGAAACAATAAAAGGAACGAAGACGCACTCTGGAATGG